CTCGAGTCTTACATCGCGTTTTGTTCTGGGCCTTTGCGGGTCACTTGACGCCCCCATGCCCTTAATGCCTCTCTCCAAGTCTTCATCCCGAAGCCGAAAGAGGGCGAGGGCCCAGCGGCGACAGGAGTCACTCGCGCTGGAGGCGAGGTGCGACCCCTAGGTCTGAACAAGTATTTCGGATAAGGTAGTTGCGGCCGTTTTGAATTGAGCCACATATCGCGCCCTGCAAGGCCTGGCACCCGAGGCTCAACGCGGCCCCATTCCTCGCCGCAGCCTTCTCAACAACATGCTTGATCTTGACCCGGCGGCCCGGGAAACGAGCATTCGGCAACATCAGGACCCCGCCCAGCTTGCCTCTCCCCTTGCCTTCGGCTTTGTTCATGCCTTCCCATCCATGCGCCAGTCTTGGATGCTAGCCACGCTCGATGCTGCTCCCATTCCGCATGGTCTTCGGCTCGCCGTCCGAGTGCTCTACCATTTGAACCCCTGCTACTTCCCTGCCGGCGGCTCCCAAGTTTTCTTTGCACTGTATGCTGTGAGGAGTCCTGCAGGGGCGCCCGCTGCCAGGGTCACGGCTCATGTTTGCGCTCAACCCATTCCTTGCCGACATGGAGAGTCATGTTTCGCGCAGGCATTGAGGCGCAGTTCGCACGTGTGCCGATGCTATTGGGGTCGCGGTGTGGAGGAGGGATGGGATTCGACACCTTGTTCGCGCTTTCAGGCTTGCCAAGCGCTTCGCGGCGCTTTTGCTAAAGCCTGGAAAATGTGTTGCCGTGCCGTTATGGGCCCCTGCCTCGCCCGGGACTTGTGCTGAGCTCCAGGATGGCCTGGGCTCGATCGAGGAGTCATGGCGCTCTTGTCGCGCCCGTGGAAAGGATGTGCATTTCGGATGCCTCCTTGGGCCCGAAGCGTCTCGTGGGGGTGAGTGGAAGGAGCCTTTCGAGAAGGCTCTCTCTCGCTCCTCTGCCTTTAGGTGCGCGTGTCGCCCCCCACTCTGTCTCTGCGGCAGCCCATTGGGAAAGAGTCGTCGCGGTGCTGAATTATCAGACGCAGCTGGTCCAGCTGAGCGCGGGCGGCCCCATGGCCGAGCGAAGGCTCCTGGCCCGAATGCATCGCGCTCGATTTACTCTCTTCCGCCATGGCGACTGGTTTCAGCTCGCACGGTTTGGCTTGCCCGAGGCCCCTAGCATCCAGGCCCTCGCGGCTGCCACCCTCATGCGGTCGGCCTTGAAGACATGCTCCACGTGGCGTCAGAATTTGGAGCGGCTTCGTTCGGTGATGTTGAGCGCCGGCGCCCTTGGTTGGTGGAACAACAAATCGATGGCCCCGCGCTTCTGGCGCTCTCCCGCCATCGCTGCGACGCTGGACGAAGCGGCGAGGGGATTCCCGCTGGGCCCCGTCCTTCGAGAGAGCGGAGCGGAAGCGTTGAGGCTTTTCGTTCCCGCCCCAAGATCTTCGAGAGGAGCCCCGTCTGCGTTGGCAGGGTCGTTTCTGTAGCGTTTTCCAGTCGGGTCTTGCTCGGGCTCCTCCTGAAGCGCTCTTGGTCCTGCAGGTTAGGAGACGCTTTAACTTGGGGTTGAGATTTTCGAGCGAGGACTGGGGGGCTCGCAGAGTGGCGCTTCGGGAAATCCCTTCGTCCTGGGCGTTGATTGCACCCAAGTCGGCCCTCGGGGGCTGGGCGACTGGCGGAAGGATGCAACGCCCGCGCGGGCGTGTCATCGGATGCCCTGGGGAACCCGATCGCGTCTCCCACTACCTCCGCTCCTGCCCTCGACTCCAGTTTTTGGGCTGCTCGTGCGATTCGATCCCCGCCCCCCGCCCACCTCATGTTTCTCTCTGGCTTGCGTGGCCATCAGTTATCCTTCGATGTAGCGCGCTATCATTCCTATCGCCTCGCCTCGCGCATGGCCTCCGCTCGGGGTCGCTCTCTTTCCTTCGCTGAGGCCTCCTCTCTCCTCGACGCCATCTCTGTCTCAATCCGCCCCCCATGCCGACGGCGCCTGGGAGAGCTGCTGAGTCGCGCTCGCCTGGCAAGAGCTGTCGCGGAGGCGAGGATATTCAAGATGAGCTCGACCCCGATGCGAGCCGCTTGCTCTTCTTTCTTTGTAAGGGGGAGTGTTTCAAGCAGCAGTTGCAGCAGCAGTAGCAGTAGCAGTGGTTAGGTTGGTGGAGACTGGTCCCCCTTGGCACGCCCCCCCTCCTCCGCCGCCCCCGTTCCTCCTCCTCCTTCGCCGCCTCCCCCTCCTCCTCCTCCTCCTCCTCCTCCTCCTCCTCCTCCTCCTCCTCCTCCTCCTCCTCCTCCCGAGCGGCGGCCCTTCTGCAACCCGAGGCCTGGGCCCGAGCGGCTGCGGCCCCTGGGCGCCTCGGAAAGATCGTTTCGGCCTGTCGGGGCCCTCGCCAGGCCTCGGGGCTGTCAAGAAACGGCTCGGGATGCAAAGCTGGCCTCGCGGAGGTGGTCGAGAGGTAGGGGGCGGACGCCTTGAAGGGGGGCGGCGCGATTGCGCACTGGGCCATCTTGGAGAGAGCTTCGGGGCTGGGCAGCGCTTTCCAGGATCGAGGGAGGTCCTTCGGCGGTTGCTGGGCACACCTCCAAGGTTCGTAGGAGGCCCCAGGCAGGTCCCAGGCAACCCCTTCGCGGCGCTTCCTAGGCTTGCGTGGGGCGCCTCGGCAGCTGCAGAGCAATCGTGAACGCGTGAGAGGTGCGATGCCCGAAGCTTGGTGGCCCAGATCTCGCGGGTTCTGGTGTTCCCGGCCCTATGTTTATGCTTGTGCTGATGCCGTTTGTATATTTTCTCAGGAAGGCTGCGGAGGCCCTCCGTCCTGACTGTCGCGGGGTTATTGGATCTGCGTTGGGACCCCCTGGCGGCGCCTCCGGCGCCGCCTTTTGCGCGCTCCGCGCACCAGGGTTGAAGTCGGACATGTCCCTTTACAGGAGGAATATTTAAAAGAACAGGAAAAAGAGAAACCCCAAATGGGGGCGACTGTTATATTACGCATTGGCTCGTTTTTTGACCATTTTCCATTTGTCCTCCGAAATCCGCGTGTAGGAGGACGCGCCCAACCTCGCACCAGGGAGAGGGTCCAAGGCCGATCCAAGAAATCCGCGCGGACCTCCGACAAATTATGTTCATGCCTCTACTCAGGGGAGAGAGGGTAAACATGGAGCTACACCCGGCGATGCATCGCCGACACGGCGGCCAGGCCCCGATCGGCGATCAATGGGCGAGTGGGGTCGACGCGTCCCCGCACATGGGCGAAAATCAGAGGAGCAAGATGCGGGCAAGATCTGTGTCCATATCCACTGCGTCTTGGATTTTCCGTGAATGGGCGCCAGAAGGCCGAGGCGCATTGGAGTTGGACAACATCTAGCCGCAGCCTCTGGGGGCCACATGTTTCCCATATCCGGGGCGCTTCGGGCTTCTGGGGAACAGAGCCGGGAACTCTAAGCTCCAGAGGATATTGCGAAGGCCTTACGGCCGGTGCCGCCGACCCTGGAGGGCGACCCATGCGTTCTCTAATGTGGCGGGGGCCTCTTGGGGCTTCCTGGGGGCCTCTTGGGGGTCTCGTGGTGGCCTCTTGGGGGCATCTTGGGGCTTCCTGGGAGCCTCTGTCGCCGAGGGCTCGTCGGGCACCCCGTCTGGGTACCCTGTTGGAGCCGTTTGGAGGGCCATCTTGGAGGCATCTTGGGCGGTCTTGAGGCTCTCTTGGGTCATTTTGGGGCTCTCTTGAGGCCTCTTGGGCTATCTTGGGGCAATCTTGTGGGCATCTGGGGCCGTCTTGGAGCCACGGCAAGTTGAAACGGCGAGAACGTCAAAATCTGTCAAAAACTTTAAGGAAATCATTGATTTGTCCCTCTTCGTGCCCTCTTGGGAGTGCTCTTGGAAACTTTTTGGAGCGTCTTGGCAATCTCTTGGGCCGTCTGGAGGCTACTTTGGCGTCTTCGACCGATGGTTCGGCGATTCGGGGCCCTCTGGAGCCGTCTTGGAAGCCTCTTGGGGCACTCTTGGCCAGTCTGGGGGCTTTTCTAGGTCCCGGGACATCCCGGGGGGGATGCGTATCTGCCCCGGGACCCCCCCCGGGACCCCCCCCCCCCCGGCGGGGAAGGGATCAAAGGGAAGGGGCTTCCCTTCGACTCAGCTACGACGTTGCTCAATTTCGCTTTGCCTTCGACTCAGCTACGACGTTGCTCGATTTCGCTTTGGTTTCGCTTTGGCTGGCGCGCCTGAGGGGAGGGCGACGACGACGACGACGACGACGACGACGACGACGAACGGAAGAGCATCGACGACGACGACGACGACGACGACGACGACGGCGACGACGACGACGACGACGACGACGGCGGCGACGACGACGACGTTCACGACGAACGGAAAAGCATCTTCCACACGCCGACAGGGTCGGCGGATTTATAGGCTACGTTCCAAGATTACCAAGTCTGCCTCGACTTCTGAAGTGTACTAACGTTCCACACGGGCTGCAGAATCGAGGGCCGCTACACACCTTTGGAATCCTGGGGCGCATCCTGACCCAATCCTATCACGACATCGCTCTCGGATAATTGCGTAGGTTCGCCGCTCCTGACAAGCGGTGCCGTGACCACGCCGCGTGGCGAGTCAGTAGTATTAGTTCGGGCCTGTCCCTCTACAGGAGGAATATCCGACAATAACTGTTTAAAAATAACCTGGAGACGATGTTTGGAGTATTTTTTGCATATTTGGGGATATGAATATGATTTGACTATGTTTTACTTGTCGCCCCAAATCCGCCTGTAGGAGGACGCGCCCGACCTAACACTGGGGACGCGGGGCGGCCTCACGCTTCTGGGACTCGGGCCGCCCTCTCTCCCAGCGTGCCCCCGGGCGGGTTTCAAAAACTGTGCGGTGGCGGGCCGCGCGGTGAGGTCGCTCGGGATTTTTCGAGGTCGCCGCACGGTCTGTCGCCGCACCGATTTCCAGGCCTCCGACAAGTAATGCCCGCGGGGAGGCCTGATGGTGAAGGTCGATGCTCTCTCTCTTTCTCTCCCTCTCTCTCTCTCCCTCTCTCGCTCTCTCTCTCTCTCTCTCTCCCTCTCTCTTCTCGCTCTCTCTCTCTCTCTTTCTCTCTCTCTTCTCTCTTGTTGTTGTTCTCTCTCTATATGTATATATACACATGTATGTATCTCCATCTCTCTCTCACTCCCTCTCTCTCTCTCCATCTCTCTCTCTCTCTCTTTCTCTCTCGCTCTATATGTCTCTCTCTCTCTCTTTCTCTCTCACTCCCTCTCTCTCTCTCTTTCATTTGTGTTGTGTTCTTTTTTTCTCTCTCTCTCTCTCTCTCTCCCTCTCTTCGCCCGAAGCACCTCGGCGGCGCGCGGGGAGTCGCGGTTTCGGCGTCTTGCTCTTCTCGGGCCTCCTGGGGGGGTCCCTCGTGACCAGGGCTCGACAGAGCCAGCCAGCAGGACCCCGGAAAGAGTCGTCTGTGTGGGTGCGCGTGTTCGTGTGCGTTCGTGTTTGTGTGTGTCTGTGTGTGTGTGTGTGTCTGTGTGTCTGTGTGTGCGTGTGTGCATGTGTGCGCGTGTGCGTGTGTGTGTGCGTGTGTGTGTGTGTGTGTGTCTGTGTGGGTGTCTGTGTGGGTGTCTGTGTGTGTGCGTGTGTGTGTGCGCGCGTGTGCGGGTGCGCGTGTGCGTGTGCGCGTGTGCGTGTATGTCTATGTGTCTGTGTGTCTGTGTGTCTGTGTGTCTGTGTCTGCGTAGTGGTCTCTGAGTGCTCGGGCGCGCGTGGACGCGCGCGCTTCACTGTTCTCTGAACTTCTGCGCCCTGTCGCCGCGCGCAGGGCCGCGACGCCAAGAAAAGTGTGTCTGTGTGTGTGCGTGTCCGTGTGTCTGCGTCTGTGTCTGTGTGTGTGCCAGCGTCTGTGTGTGCCAGTGTCTGTTTGTGCGTTTTTGGAGCCGAGCTGGTCCGGTTCAGTGCGAGGTGGAGGGGCTTTCCAAGAAGGCAGGGGCTTCGTAGCGAAGCTCCCCCGTGCTGAAAGGAAGCCTTCCTGGCAGCCCCAGGCCCCTTGTAGACATCGCCCGGACGTGTGCATTTTTCTCGGCGAGGACCGTTGAAGAGCATCTTAGATCATCTTGCGAAGAAGTACAGTCGGGCCGCAGAATAAGGAACCCTTTTCGTCGGGGAGGGGCTCAGAGCGCCTTCTTTGTTTTACAGTCTGTCTCAGGTTTTCCTTAGGCCGTCTCTGGGAAGTCGGAGTTTCACTTATGGGAAAAGCGTACCTCGTTCCTTATTGGGGGTTCCCTGTGACAGCGCTTCGACGGCAAGCGCACGAAGCCGACACATGCACGAGGACGGGGCGCTTCCGAGCCGTGGCAATGCCTTCCGATCTGCCCCCCGCGCCTCCCTGTACCAACCCTCCGACTCAGCTGCCTCGATGCGCCCGCTTGCACGCGCAACACGTGCCGTGCTCAAAACGTCCGAAGGAGCGCATTCTGTAGGCGCTTGAACGGGGTTCGGAACCGCCCCCTCCCCCTCCCCCCGGCTCGCGCCGGCACCAGCGCCGGCGGGCGGCGGCGAGCGGCGACGACGACGACGACGACGACGACGACGACGACGACCCACGACGACGATGGCGACCCACGACGACGACGACGACGACCCACGACGACGATGACCTCTTCCAGGGGCTCGTTTCGACCTGAGGTAGTGGCCTCGATGCGCCCGTGTGGATATACGCAGCACGTACCGTGCTCAAACCGTCCGTGCCAATACGTTGCGTGTTGGCTTCACGTATTGGTCCACGTTTGGGGGAGCGTGTCGCGTCAGACCTACGTTGTCAGTCTGCGTATTCATACGTTTTGCGTCTTGCGCATCGGGGCAGCTGTGGCTTCGACGCCTCTTCTTTCCGATGGGTTCCATGTACGCTTCGATTCGACCCGGGATTCCGAGTCGGATTCCGACGTTTCAGCGGAGGCCCATTGGCCTGCCGATTTCCCCCGATCCGGCCTCTCCCGACTCGGCTGCCGATTCTTGCTGCTCCGATTCGCTTCGACCACCGATGCGATGTATCGATTCGGCTCTGGGCGCTCCCGCCCTCCCGGGGTGCACCCTTGCCCGTTTGTCGAGCAGTGCCCAGCCGCGGCCCCGACCCCCGGGAGCCCCAGAGGAGGGCAGAGGGCGTCCGAGAACCCCCGGGGCTCTGGCGCGCTGCCGCCGCCGAGCAGCGCTCTTCTGCGGGCGCGCTCCGCAGACGCGTGCCCGGAGGCACGCAGTCTCGTTTTTGTGCTGTCCGCTGCAGATACTGCGCGGGCGTTTTCTGCGAGGTCGCCTCTTTTTCGCGACATCGGACCTCTAGGGTGCCCCCCCCCTGCCTCCTTCCTGCTTCTTCTTCTTCTTCCTCCCTCCTGCTTCTCCCCCATCCCTCCCTCCTCGCCCTCCTCCTCCTCCTCTCCCTCCATCCTCTCCAGTCCTCCCTGCTCTTTCCTCCTCCTCTCCTCCTCCTCCTCCTCCTCCTCCTCTCCTCCTCTCTCCTCCTCCTCCTCCTCCTCTCCTCCTCCTCCTCCTCCTCTCATCATCATCATCATCATCTCATCATCATCATCATCATCATCATCATCATCATCATCATCATCATCATCATCATCATCATCATCATCATCATCATCATCCTCTTCCCTCCTTCCCAGTCCTCCGTCCTCTGGATCCTTCTCCCCCTTCTCCTGCTCCTCCTCCCTCCTCGCCCCCCCCCCCTCCGCGAAAGTTATAGAGCGTGCCCCCGTTCGGGGCCCGAGGCCGTTTCGGCCGCTGCCTGCGGCCGCCGCCCGCGGCGCCGCCCGCCTAGCTAGTGCCTCTGTAGGGGCGCGGCCGCGCAAGCTCCTCCGAAGGCAGCCGCTGGTCGCTCGGGCCGCTCCCGGCCCGGACCCCCCTCGAGTCAAGAAGAAAATCTCGACCGGAGGTGTGTCTGTAATTTTGGGCCCCAGGGGGGCCCTTCCGGGGCCGCGGGACCGTCAACAAAACGACTCGAGATGAAAAACTGGTCCCGGGGAATGGGTCGAGACTTCTGGGGGTCGACGTCATGAAAAAATCATGACGTCGGGAGCCTGGTTGGGGCGGCAGGGGGTGTCCGCACGCCCCAGCCAGGAAGCCACCAGCCAAGGGCCACGACGGCCATGGCGACGGCCCGACGATGGCGTCGTCGCGGACGGCCCGCGACGCCGTCGACGACGTACGACAACGACGTCGACCTGAGGCCCCCCAGCCACCCCAGACATCCAGCGTCTCGGTTGCCTCGAAGCACGGGCCTACAACCTCTCGACAACTCCCCCGGGACCCAGGACCGGTTCTTCACCCGAGTCGTTCTCTGACCAGTCCCGGGACTGGTTCTTCACCCCGAGTCGTATTTCGATGGTCCCGAGGTCCGGGGAGGGCCCCGAGAGGCCGAAAACGATGAAGAACGTCCGTCGCTCTGCTGCTCCCCCGCACCACTAGACGGAGGGCGACGACGACGACGGCGACGACGACGACGACCACGACGACGACGACGACGACGACGACGACGACGACGACGACGACGTACGACGACGACGACGACGTACGACGACGACGACGACGACGACGACGACGACGACGACGACGACGACGTACGACGTACGACGTACGACGTACGACGACGACGACGACGACGACGACGACGACGACGACGACGACGACGTACGACGTACGACGTACGACGACGACGACGACGACGACGACGACGTACGACGTACGAGGTACGACGTAAGACGACGACGACGACGACGACGACGTACGACGTACGCCTCACGACGACGACGACGACGACGACGACATACGACGACGACGACGACGACGACGACGAACGACGACGACGTACCACGGACGACGACGACACGACGACGACGACGACGTACGACGTACGACGACGACGACGTACGACGTACGACGTACGACGACGACGACGTACGACGTACGACGTACGACGAACGACGTACGACCGACGACGACGATGACGTACGACGTACGACGTACGACGACGTACGACGACGACGACGACGACGCACGACGTACGATGTACGACGACGACGACGACGTACCACGTACAACGTACGACGGCGACGACGCACTACTTACGCCTCACGACGTACGACGACGACGACGAACGACATACGACGACGACGAACGACGAACGACATACGACGACGACGACGTCGACGACGACGACGACATACGACATACGACGACGACGACGACGACGGCGGCGACGACAACGACGACGACGATGACGACGACATACGACGACGACATACGACGACTACGACGTACGACGACCGACGAACGACATACGACGACGACGACATACGACGCGACGACGACGGCGACGGCAACGACGACGACGATGACGACGACATACGACGACGACATACGACGACGACGACGACATACGACGGACGACATACGACGAACGACGAACTACATACGACGACATACGACGACGACGGCGACGACGGCGAAGACAACGACTACGACGATGACGACGACATACGACGACGACATACGACATACGACGACGACGACGACATACGACGTACGACGTACGACGAACGACGAACTACATACGACGACGACGACATACGACGACGACGACGACGGCGAAGACGACGACATACGACGACGACGTACGACGACGACGACGACGACGACGACGACGACGACGACGAGGGCGCAGGACGACGACGACGACGTCGTCGTCCTGCGCCCTCGGGCGCCCGAGGGACCGCCGGCGGGGAGGAGGCCCGGCCCGCCGTGCCGATCGGCCGACGTACGACGTACGACGTAGGACGTACGATGTACGACGTAGGACGTACGACGACGTACGAAGTACGACGAACGACACACGACGACGACGACATACGACGTACTACGTACGACGACGACGCGCGACCTACGACCTACGACATACGACGACGACGATGACGACGACATACGACGACGACATACGACGACGACGACGACGTACGACGTACGACGTACGACGAACGACGAACGACATACGACGACGACGACGACGACATACGACGACGACGGCGACGACGACGGCGACGACAACGACTACAATGACGATGACGACGACATACGACGACGACATACGACGACGACGACGTACGACGTACGACGAACGACGAACGACATACGACGACGACGACATACGACGACTACAATGACGATGACGACGACATACGACGACGACATACGACGACGACGACGTACGACGTACGACGAACGACGAACGACATACGACGACAACGACGACGACATACGACGACGACATACGACGACGACGTACGACGAACGACGAACGACATACGACGACGACGACGACGACGACATACGACATACGACGACATACGACGACGACGTACGACGTACGACGAACGACATACGACGACGACGACGACGACATGATACGACGACGACGACGGCGAGGGCGACGACAACGACGACAATGACGATGACGACGACATACGACGACGACATACGACGACGACGACGTACGACGTACGACGAACGACGAACGACATACGACGAAGACGACATACGACGACGACGAGGGCGATGACGACGACAACGACGACGATGACGATGACGACGACATACGACGACGACATACGACGACGACGTACGGCGTACGACGAACGACATACGACGACGACGGCTACGACGACGACATACGACGACGTACGACGTACGACGAACGACATACGACGACGACGACGACGACATACGACGACGACGACGACGGCGACGGCGACGACAACGACGACGATGACGATGACGACGACATACGACGACGAAATACGATGACGACGACGACGTACGATGTACGACGAACGACGTATTACGACGACGACGACATACGACGACGACGACGACGACGACGGCGACGACGGCGACGACGACCTACGACGATCTACGACGACATACGACGACGACGACGTACGACCAACGACGAACGACATACGACGACGACGACGACATACGACGACGACGACCTACGATGACGACATACGACGACGAGGTACGTCGTACGGCGTACGACGAACGACGAACGACACACGACGACGACGACGACGACATACGACGACGACAACGACCGCGATGACGACCTACGACGACGACGATGACGACGACATACGACGACGAACTACGATGACGTACGACGTACGACGAGCGACATACGACGACGACGACGACCTACGACGACGACATACGACGACGACGAACGATGAACGACATACGACGACGACGACGATGACGACGACGACATACGACGACGACGACGACGACGGCGACGACAACGACGACGACGACGACGCACGACGACGACATACGACGACGACGTACGACGAACGACGAACGAAATACGACGACGACGACGACCACATACGACGACGACGACGTCGGCGACGGCGATGACAACGACGACGATGACGATGACGACGACATACGACGACGACGTACGACGCCGACGTGCGACGTACGACGATCGACGAACGGCATACGACGACGACGACGACGACGTACGACGACGACGACGACGGCGACGACGACCTACGACGACGGCGATAACGACGACATACGACGACGACATACGACGACGACGTAGGAAGTACGACGTACGACGAACGACGAACGACATACGACGACGACGACGACATGCGACGACGACGACGACGACGACGACGACCTACGACGACGACATACGACGACGACGACGTACGACGTACGACGTACGACGAACGACGAACGACATACGACGACGACGACGACGTACGACGACGACATACGACGACGACGACGACGACGACGGCGACAGCGACGACAACGACGACGACGACGACGACCTGCGACGACGACGATGACGACGACGACGTACGACGTACGACGAACGACGAACGACGTACGAGGACGACGACGACGACGTACGACGACGACATACGACGACGACGGCGACGGCGACGACGGCGACGATAACGTCGACGATGACGACGACATACGACGACGACATACGACGACGACGACGACATACGACGACGACGACATACGACAACGACGGCGACGGCGACGGCGACGACAACGACGACGACGACGAAGACCTACGACGACGACATATGACGACGTACGACGAATGACGAACGACATACGACGACGACGACGACGACGACGACGACTTGAGACGACGACGACGACGACGGCGACGACAACGACGACGACGACGATGACGACGACATACGACGACGACGACATACGACGACGACGACGTACGACGAACAACGAACGATATACGTCGACGACGACGACCACATAC